GAATACTTATAATTAAGTCGTCAGGAAAGTCTTCTAGCTAGACGACTTAATTATAAGTTTTCTACTAAGTCGTCCCGGGTTTATGAATCTATGTATTAAGAATTTGTGTTATGAATCTATGTATTAAGAATTTGTGTTAAAAAATTGCACTACCAAATTTAAGAAGGTCTTTTATATTTATATATCCGAAAGGTTCCAAAAGGTCACTGCACAGAAGACTTTCCATCCGACTTATAGTTAAGTCGTTTAACATTCCAGACGACTTAACTCGAAGTCTTGTGTGCAGAAGATATGTTACAAAAAAAGAAAAAAATACTTCATCCTATCCTGACCTTGTTAATGTAGCCTACTCTATCATACATCAGCATATCAAGTTCAAATACAAACATATAAACATCAGCCTAATCTATCATACAAAATAATCTAACGTAGCATGTCTATCACCCATCATAAGCACCCACGTTCTCATCATTATCCTGGTTTTCTTTCTCATACTGGCCATGAAGCTCTTTAAATATATCCACCGTCATCTTATCCCTCATACCCTTCTCGTTTGCCTTAGCAAAGTCTTTTTGATTAAATAGCATCCCAAGAGCATGACATTCAAATGTACCTTAGAGCGTACACGCTACAATCACCAGATCGGGCCTGAGGTATATTGGTCGGACGGGAATATATGAATGGTTCCAGGGTTTATTGGGCACATTGTTCATCAGAGGAAGCGCACTCAACAAGCAGATAAGGGACCATGTAGAGAAAAGACTCCATTATCACAGAGAGTTCTTCTTCGGAGATAGAGGAATAAATGCTGTTCGAGACGACTATGTGTCTCTTAGGGATCAATATCCACATAGAAATTCAATGACAGTCGTTGTAGTTCATTGGCGCATAGATATCATCAATATCCACCCCCCAAAACTTGTTCGATCAACAAAATGATGGTATAGCGCCTCAATAATAATTTCACGCTCCACCAGAGAGTATTCTTCCTAAATTGTTGTGACCAGGCTCCGATTCCTTAAAATCCTTGTAGTTAAATCTCCACTGCTGAGAAAAGAGATGATCAAGGAAGCACATCCTCTCGCTCCTGAAATGTTGTGGCTTAGCATTATACCTCTTCCTCAGCACATTAATCCAAACAGTAATATGCTGCATCTAAAATAATACAAGTCAGAAGATATCAGAGAATTTACTGGTAAATCGTCTACAAAGAAGACTTCTCAGTAAGTCATCTAGTAAGTCTTCTACGAATAAGACTTACCAGACAACTTACTGGTAAGTCACCTACAAAGAAGTCTTATCAGTAAGTCATTTAGTAAGTCTTCTACGTAGACGATTTACCAGACGACTTAATGGTAAGTCGTCTACAAAGAAGACTTACCAGTAAGTCGTCTACAAAATCTTCTACGTAGAATACTTACCAGATGACTTACTGGTAGAAGACATAAGTCATAGCAGAAAACTTACACATATATCCAGCCAAGATAAGGAGGTTCGGAGGGTGTGATACCACTTAGTTGGTGCTGTACGTGGTTTTTTGTCGAGAGGTGTATTATAATGACTGCAAACACAAAATGTTGAAAAACAATCAGTTTTTGTAGACTCAAGCAAGCTACTATAAGAAAATAAATCACTTACGGATTAGTTTTCAACCAATCAGCGAGCTCCTTCAACTTCGTCTTGTCAATTGGTGCAAAATGATTATAGCCTGGAAAAAGCTTTTTGTTTGGAATGGTCACTTTGGCTGTGTTATTTGCCATATAAAGAGATTTCTATGAGGTAGAAAGTTTCCTTGTTCGATCACTCTTTGCACGTATAACTGCTAAAGCAGCATCCCTCTTTTCCTGATATCTATTATCCTCGTGTTGTACATCCAAAATAGTGGGTGCTTGTTTGTCCAATAGAACAAAGCTTGGTTCTAGAGGTTTATCCTCGGCCAAGCTCGGAACTAGACTCATATCTTTCGATGAACTAGCATCTGCGGACACATCTAGAGCTTTACCCTTCAGCAAGCTCTTCCTTCACGCGTTCACCCCATTAACAATTTCACTCTGCAATGTACAAGATGGGTTTATACAATATTATCCAAAACAAAACAAGCACATTATAATCAAATATCCATTTCAAACAATAATAACCAAAGATCCATTTTAAACATGAAACAAAATCCATATACAAAATCCATAAACAGAAACAAAACAAGCACACTATAAACAAAGCACACATGTTCTGACATACAAGAACAAAACAAATCCAACTTTCAGTTCTTTTTATTAAGACTTTCAATTTCTTGTTGGAAGAGGATACATTACTAATCCCGGGTTCGTGCGTTTTAGGTTGAGAGGTGTTTTGAGATGATGCCCCTTTCCCTTTTTTAGTGATACTAACCTTCTTCTCCACAGTTTCCACCCTTTTCGACATATGTTTGATCTCCTAATGCACATCCCAAACCCTTCCGTCATGGAATCAAGTACGTCATTCAAAGAATCATTGAACATTCTTTCAAAATCCTCGTTGGTCATCCCAACAACAATCGTAGTTACCTCTGTAAGAACCTCTTCATGTGCCTCTGCAGGTGCCTCTTCATTAGCCTCTGCAGGTGCCTCTTCATTAGCCTCTTTACGAGCTTTCTTCTGAGGTCTTTGTCTGTCTTCCTTCACCATGATTATCTCTTTCTTTGGACTCACAACCGCCGGCTTTGTATTGACCCAAGTACCGGTGACTTCCTAGAAATCCGTGGCCCACTTCCACAGTCTCTAATTAAACATGAATTTAATTATGTTCTCCGCGGCCGGGTTCTCAACATCAGAGTCCCATTGTGGAAACATTTCACCAATGTCCTTCTGAAAAAAGTTGATCACCGTAGTCTGCAGTAAATAGAAAAAATATTTGACGGATTAAGAAAGATAGAAAGAAAAGACTTCGCAGACGATTTATAATTAAGTCGTTTGGAAAGTCTTCCAGTTAGACGACTTAGTAGAAGACTTATAATTAAGTAGTCTGGATAATCTTCCTAGACTACTTAATTATAAGTCTTCTACTAAGTCGTCCAGCTGGAAGACTTTCCAAACGACTTAATTATAAGTCTTCTACTAAGTTGTCTAGTTGGAAGACTTTTCAGACGACTTAATCATAAGTTTTCTGCGAAGTCTTTGGATTGAAGTAAATACCTGTCTACAGATAGCTTCTTTAAAGCATTTGCGTCCTTTGCCACCCTTGTAAGCCAATATCGGTGGGGACGGTCTGTTTGGTATTGGATTACCATAATTAGCTCCCAATTCTGGCAGAGCTGTGTACATGCAGACCTGGAGAGCTTGTATAAACCCATCAACAGTGTAACAACACAAAATATCTTTGCCCTTCACATAGTTAATCAACACCTTAAACGTGACTCTCCCCCATGGATAATTCTCAAATCATTCTAAATCCATCACTAGCCTTCCCAGACTAATCCGTGTAGTTGAAGCCTTTCTCCCTTCAATGTATCCAGTGAAGATGGCAAGGTACTCGAGCCGTTTGCGATCATCCCGCGAGCATCCTTTGCATCTCTCAAATGCTGCTATTATCTGCGGAGTAGTTGGCCCAGCTTCGACAAGAACTCCCAACATCTCCCAGAAAGAAGCCATCTCTTTTGTAAAAACATAGTTCGGTCTCTCAAGATCCTCGATGTACTAGCAGTTTAGACCATGGAGGTTTTCAAACTCTAACAGTGAAAACATCAAAGGTTGTGGACCAACGAGATACCACAGCTCATACTTCTTCTCTATGTCGAGCTGGAAACCGAGCATGTAGTGAACCAACCTTGAAGCCCAACCAAATCCCAACTCTTTGAACTTGATGCAAACTCCCAACTTTGACTCTTCAACTCTTCATATTCGTCATCATGAAAAGCATTCCTTAAAGCAGTATGAAACTTCGAACAATCCGTATGATACAAAATGCTATTCATTGCGATGGGCTATTCCCCTACTGTATGTATCCTACGGGGGAGTTCTGGAATATCTTTTATCTGCAAAACAATCAAAGACAACCATCTCAAACACACAACCATCCAGTATAACATTTTAATTATAAGTCTGGAAGACATTCCAGATGAGTTATAATTAAGTCATCTGGCAAGTCTTCTAGCGGAAAGACTTATATTTAAGTAGTCTCGAAAACTTAACCCTAAGAATACATACAATACTACAGCATATCTTGGCAAAGCATAAATCAAAGAATATCATGACTCACTACTTCCACTCATCTAAATTGAAAACAATTAAATTTTGTTATGTCTTAATTTATATCTCTTAAAACATATGTAAATTACATGATTTCAATTTTTCACTTATCAAAATAGTTTTTACAAAAAGTTTAAATTATTTTTTAAAAAGAACTATACTAGACGATTTTCAAGTAAGTCGTCTAGACGACTTTATTAAAAGTTTTCTGGACAGAATAATTGCGGAGGTTAGAAACGTAAAATAATATTCGGATTTTTTGTTTGTTTACAAAGAGCTGGTTGTAATTTCAATAGCCTTTTAAATTATTTTTGAATTTGATTCAAGTTTGAGTTTACTTTTGCATTTGAAATCAAGATATGAGTCATATTTGACAATTTTCTTACATTTTTCCCGAAAACTAGTAAGTATGTGTATGTGGAACATAACCAAATAAAATTTCTTGGTTAAAAAATTCTCTAGATATACACAAATACACATGGTAACAATAATTGTCATACTAACTATATTATTTTTCGGCTTCACAAAAAGTCGGTTTGACATTTTTTTTTCGTTTCAGAAATCTTAAGTGAAATTACATATAGAAATAATGTCGCTCTAGAACGGCAATATTTTTAGTGTCGGAGATATACTTTGTTAAGCAAAATGGCGCATCCGCACAACAATCTCATACTCGATTTTTTTTCTGTTTTTTTTTCTCATACTCGATTTTTACTCTCTTATATGATTGAGGTCTTTATATAATTCCTTTATTAACGCTAATTCAATTTAAAAAAATTATAAATGCGTTTTCAAATAACTCAAAACGGATATGATCGTGTGAAGCTGATAGATTGTGATATTAAGTGGGTGTTCTGTACCACTAGAAGACCACTTGGTCCGCCATTGTTGAATCAGCTCATGAGCCGCTTTCATGTTCCTTACCGCCAAGCACCAGCCCCCGCAAGCTGCCTGTAAATTCACAAAACAATAAGTTTATATCGAAAGATTCACATTAACAAAAGAGAAAATGACTAGAATAGACCTAAAAAAGTTTTATCACAAATATAGACTTTAACAATTAAAATGACCAAAATAGCAATTAAATATTTTATTAAATATACATTTATACCCTTGGGTTAACTAATTATAGAATTTTTTGTTTATAGTTAAAGGAGCGGGGTTTTGGAGATAGAGTTTCGAATTTAAAAAAAAATTAAAAAAACTTAAAATTTTCAAAAGAAAAAAATGTTATTTTGTTCATTTTAATTTTTGAGATCTATTTTTATGATAAAAATTTTAAAAAGGATATTTGAGAGAATTTCCCTTAACAAAAATGTCAAAAAACAACTAGGAAATCTCTGTTTTTGATTCTGAGCTAATGCCAGTAGTAGAGCCTAGTGGAGCCAGTGACAATGCATGTTAAGTGGTTTAACAGAGGAAATGGATTATGTAAGTGAGAAGCCATGATTCTCTGCAAAAAGATCTCTTGCAAAACATTAGCCCATCCTCCCATCGAAGCTAAACCATCCTTCTTTTTGTCTTCTTCAAATACGCCGTTACAACATCTCCAAATTTGTTTGTTTGAACATTTAATTTCAGTGACTGTTAATAGTCATTGTAAGGATATCAATTTCATATTAATTTTTATCTATAAACGTAGGACATACATACATCGACTTGAATGCTATATTGGGGTTTCATTGTCTATGGTCACAGACTCACGTTAAAGATTTATATATATGTTTTCGTTTTAAAACAGAACTGCATTTCTGTAGTATTGGTCTCCAAGTAACTCGTTGTTATGTACCATTTATCTTATTAAATCAGAAATATTAGGTTGGACTTAACATTATTTTGTAAGTTTTTAAATTACATATATTTTTCTATTTTATAGTTAAACATACATTAACTACAAAAAAGTCATGTTGGACCATTTCATTAAATATGATATATTTGATTATTTATATTAATCAATCAAATATATATAACTGGAAGAATATTTTAATAATTAATAAGATATTAGTAATAAATTTGTTGAGAAAATATCTAACAAGATCTTACTAAGAAGTTTAAATATTTTTATAAAATAGACATTATTTAATTTCGTGATTAATATATATAAATATCTATATTAATTTTAATTAAGAATAAAAATTGTTATATTTTATAATTTAGTTATATTCTATATTATATTAAAACAAAATGCTATGTGAAATGAATATAAAATATATTAAATTGGTAAAAGGAAAATATTTTGTTTTAAAAATTTTCTTTTATTCAAATAAATAAATAAATATCACTCCCTTTTAAAACATATTAAAATTTTTAAATCATATATTTTTGTAACTCACAACAAATACATTATATAATAAATTATATATTAATATTGTTTTTATTTNAAAATGCTATGTGAAATGAATATAAAATATATTAAATTGGTAAAAGGAAAATATTTTGTTTTAAAAATTTTCTTTTATTCAAATAAATAAATAAATATCACTCCCTTTTAAAACATATTAAAATTTTTAAATCATATATTTTTGTAACTCACAACAAATACATTATATAATAAATTATATATTAATATTGTTTTTATTTTAAAACTTAAAACAATATATTATATCAAAATAATTAAAATTATAAAATTATACAATTATACAATATATAACAATAGAATAAAAATCATATATATTTGAAGAGTTTTGTTATATTTTAATAAAATGAAAAAATACCCGCACGGATGTGCGGGTTCAAATAAACCATTTAATTTAATATATATAAATATCTATATTAATGTTAATAAAAAATAAAAAATGTTAGATTTTATAACTTAGTTATATTCTATATTATATTAAAATAAAATGCTATGTGAAATGAATATAAAATATATTAAATTGGTAAAGGAAAATATTTTATCTTACAAAATTTCTTTTGTTCAAATAAATAAATAATTATCACTCACTTTTAAAACATATTAAAGTTTTTAAATCATATAATATTTTTATACAAAAAATGTTAACATATATTTTTGTAACTCACAACAAATACATTATATAAAAAATTGTATATGAATATTTTTTATTTTAAAACTTACTACAATATATTATATTAAAATAATTAAAACTATAAGATTATAAAATTATACAATATATAACAATATAATATAAATTATATATTTGAAAGGTTTTGTTATATTTTTATAAAATGAAAAAATATCCACACGGATGTACAGGTTCAAAATCTAGTTTATCTTATTAAATCAGAAATATTAGGTTGGACCTAACATTATTTTGTAAGTTTTTAAATTACATATATTTTTCTATTTTATAGTTAAACATACATTAAATCATTAATATTCCTTTCTTTATACTATTATCCATGTTTCCAAATAATATATTTATTTTTTATACTACTATCCATGTTTCCAAACAATATACACATTTCTTTATAATTAGTCTTATGTCAAAAAATACAGAATATTAGATCTCACTTTTTTTTTAATAATTTCTCACAATTTTATTTCAAATTATTTAGATAAATTAAAAAATTCAAATAATATATAAAACAACAAAAATACTTATTTTTATAAGTTTAAATATTACATATCATTTATCAATTGGTTCAGTCTTAGTCTCGAGTTTTAGTGACTTTTTATATATGGATATTTTTATAAATCCGAATTGAATTATCGGATCACCGATTTGACCGTGGTTCGGGTTAAATTTAAAAATACTGATTTAAATGAAAAAAATATTTTAAATACATAATTTTTTCAAATTATCAAAATATTTGTTAAGTTATTTATAAAATATTTCATCATAAAATATTTAGTGCTTAAAAAATTAAGACCAGAATTAAGTTTGAATTTAACCTAACCTATAAAATAAAGATTTAGGCCAAAAATTCTAGAAATTTGTATATTATTTTAAAACTTTGCAAACTATTAACATTAGAATTAATTAAACTCTCAACTCTTTTTTTTAATACAAAAAATTAGGTTTGAATTTGACTTTGCATTTCAAACAAACATACAAAATTAATATTTTCTCTGCATGGTTATATCTATATAATCTATACTATTAAAGCTGAAGTACAAAAATTAAGTGTTTGGAAACATGAATAAGAAGATTTTAAAATTTTGATTGGAAACATGGATAGCATACAAATGGGCTTATTTATTAAACTAAAGATTATTGCGGTCCAAAGTACCATTATTATTGTTTTGGGGTTTTCTATCACTGATATTAATTTATTTCTGAAAATTATTTATTCATATATGTACTCGTGTTTTATATTTATTTAGAATAAATCAAGAATAATATATATATATATATATATATTATTTAAAATTTATATATGACTATTGTTATAAGTTTTTAACAGTGATATATTAGCCTTCCATTCTTCATTAAAAATTAACTTAAAAATTTGACTAAATTGTTTAGTATATATAACTTTGCACCAAATTTAACCAAAAAAACTATTACTAAAATGTTTACGGGTCACAACATTTCACCGACGCGCCTATTACACAATACAGTGATGAAATACAATGTTTAAACAATATACTATTACTTAGTAAAATTGAAACCATGAGATTGCAATTTTTGAAATGTTTATGTATACCATAAAAACAAAGACCCGCCCAGTCGGGTGGGTCATGATCTAGTATACGATTAACCCTATAAATACAAAAGAAAGTTTTGATATTGTTCTTTAAACATAAAATCGAATTGGAAAAACTCCAAACTATAACACTAAAATTATATATAATACATTCGAAAAATAAAACCCATACGGATGTGCGGAACATGATCTAGTGCGTATTAAATGATTGCATAATATTTTGGGAGTTTGTGAATCCTATCTTTTATGAAGCTGATCTTGTACTAGTTTAGGCTTTGTTGTCTTGAATGAAGGCTTAAAATTTAACGAGAAAACATATTCTTATGTTGGCACAACTTGAGGAACTATAACGAAAATGTAATAAATACGAAAAGCCATTCCCCGAGACTGATCCTTCATCCTTCATCTTTTAGAATGTGTTTGGTGGTTTGAGGTCAAGTTCTAGAACCTTCTAACAAGTATAATATGGATAAAAGAAAAGAGAGAGAGAGATGTGTAAAGAAGCTATTACATTGTAAGAGACATGTGAGAAAGGGACTTATTCTTGATGAGTTCCATAACGGCATTGCACCTCTTTTCCTTCTATAAGCCTCTCCAACGCATCAAGAGGAAGACCAATCAGCTCTATCGTCTTTTCCCACACTCGATTTGCTGTTTCTACACTCTGAGCTTCTTTTGAAGGCTTTGTGTGTTTGCAGTTTTGAGATATGAATGTACAAATAGGCTTATCACCGGTTTTTAGCATTTCACAGTGCTCCGGAATCTGAGCATCTGTCGCCGAGTAAAGTGAGCTTCTACAACCTTCTTGAGGGGAGGACATGAAATAAGGTATCAATGCATATTGAACTTGAACAGATCTCGGAAGGTCCCTCACCTGCATATTTGGATGTCAAAAATGATATAGTGATATAAGTTCGGAGGAGAGAGCAATGGAGACAGTCAAAGTAATACTAACCACATTTGTTAGCACAATCCCTGGAGACAAACAAGCAACGCTTATGCGAGTTTCCAGAGGCAGCCTTTTGAAAAGAACATTGCTAAACATAACCTGAACAGATGAAATTGATGACAGATAGCAAAGTATATCCATTAGCTTCTGAGATCAAGAACCAAAGAAAAGAAAGAAAATATTGAATGCTGTTTGTGAGTTACGTTTCTCACCTGTGCAAGCTTGCTGCCTGAATATCCTACAAGGCTTGTAAACTTCCGTCTACCAGATACCACATTCATGTCATCCGGGTCAACAAAACCGACATAATGCATCTACCACATTCATGTTTAGATTCAATAAAAAAGAAAGTGACAGAGATAAGCAAATGAAGATAAAGCTTGGGTTGCCTTAAGTTCTGTATACCGAGAAAAATGCAAGTTTTTCAACAACATAACTAATGCCAGAGAGAGAAGCCAAAACTAAGTGACAAAATACTTGCAGCTGGCCGTTTTACGACTTACAACAGAGTTGACATTAATGATTCGGCTTGGGGAGCCACGGTTAAGGGAGGGCAAAAGGAGTAGTGACAGCAACGCGGGAGCTAAATGGTTGACTTGCATGTGATGTTCATATCCATCCTTTGAGAACTTCTGTTCCTCTGCATAAATCAATTCCCTCAATCTGAAGGTCACTGAGAATGCAAAGAAACTAGAGAAAGAACTAGTAAATCAACATCCACTAGATATGAAGTGAGGGTGAATGATGGAACAGTATGGGTTTAAGATCCCTCAATACTATAACAAGAGATTGTTGAAAATCGCTAAAAGAGGAAAGAAAACACCCAACCTCCCATGGCAAAGATGCCGGCATTGTTAATGAGAAGATGCAAAGGAGCTAAACGAGCGTTCCAGGCATTGCTAAACTTGACGACAGAATCCAAGGAGAGAAGATCTAGTTCCATCGCCTTTCAGTAAAAGAAACATACTAGAATTCATTTCTCTAATCACAAATTAATTACACATAACTGACTAGATTAAGTGCAAGCAAGCAACACAGATCTAATTTGGTTTACCTCGATGTTAAGTGGGGGGTGGCCTTTAGCAGACCAATCTTTCTGCCACTGTTGAATAAGCTCGTGAGCTGCCTTTGTGTTCCTAACCGCCATTACAACATGAGCACCACCTTCTGCTAGTTGCCTGTCATTTCAACAACAACCAATTAACAAACAAATTCAAACTACACTTTTGGAGAATTTGGTCAAAAAAAGTCAACGCAAAAAAAAAAAATCGGGAAGAGATTTGGAGGGACCTAGCGGTTTCGAGACCAATGCCGCTGGTGGAGCCAGTGACGATGCAGTTAAAGTGATTGAGAGGAGGAAGAGGAAGTGGGTTGGGTAAATGAGAAGACATGAATCTCTGGAATAGAAACTCCTGGAACACGCAACCCCATCCTCTCATCCACTCCATCCATCCCAAACCTTCCTTCTTCTTCTTCTTCGTCTTCCTCATTTCACTACTCATCCGAGAAGATCTGTCACAACAAACGCTGCTACAGAGAAAAGACAAAAACACTATTTGCCTTTATTAATTAATTGAATCAGAAATTTTGTATGATATGATTTTAAATAGAACTGGACTTTTTCGGTCCGGTTTAAATTTAGTTATTAATAAACCAAATTAAAGTTGGTTATTTGCCGTCAGATATTAACCGGGTTTTCATCTGGTCCGGTCGGGTTACGAACCAGATACATTTCAAAAAGATATATATAAAGGCGGGGGTGGGGTGGTCTTTGTGTTGAGGTTTCGTTTCAGAGACTAAGCAGAGAAGAGCTTTGCGGGTTCGTGGAATGGTCGGAATGTCAATGTCATCTATTGTCAATGTCATGTATTGATCTTATGTGGTTTCTTTTTTGAGTTTTGTCTTTTTTTGACTACTGCATTGCAATTATATCAGTTGCTTCAATAAAATAAAAAAAGTAAGAAAATATGTTCTAGATGCTTAGACTCTGCTTGTGTCTCTCTCTAAGCAAAGCTAGCCTTCTTCTAAACTTAAATTTCTCATCTTTCATCTCCAACTTCTCCAAAATGTGCACTATCTTCTGGAGAGTGATAATGAGCTCTTCTGCTAATGAACCAAAGTCTTTCTCTTGTATCATCAACACCCTTTTCAGCAAACCCAGTACTTCTCCATCATCTCTTCCTAATCTCACCTGGATCGACACGAAACAGTCCAACACCTCACCTGCGAAAGGGTTTGTCCATAGAAGTCAGACTTTGTTGTTCCAACAAGAAATCTCATAAACATTGATGATGATGTTAACGAGAGAGGAGAGTGAGTCTATATACCAACAGGGAGAGACTCTTTGCCAAATGCCTTCTCACGTATCCGTAAAACCTTTAACGCTATTTGCTCCGCTTCCTCGTAGCGGTTTAGCTGAGAAAGAGTGACTGCAAGATTCAGCATTGGGAAGGTTATGGACTGATCCTCTGAACCAACTGATTTCTCCATGATGTCCAAACAAGTTCTCAGCAACCGCTCTGCCTCCACATAATTCTTGGAGCGTGAATAAGATGCTGCAAGGTTCATAAGATGTGTAGCCATGCTTGGATTGTTTTTCCCTTTGTACTTCTCGTTTATTAATAAGCATTCTTCTAGCAGCTCTCTTCCTTCGTTTCCCCTGTGAAACATAGCCAAAAGGATAAAGTTTCTCAATCGCAGGAAGAAGATTAGATGAAAAAACTATACCTTCCAACAAAATGAAGCAGCTCAGCAAGATCTATCCTCATGTTTTCTAAGATAGCATTGTCTATGGCCATATAATTTGACTCTTTGATGATTCGTAGTGCGTTCTTGTAGAGATCTACCGCTTCATCTGCATCACCTGTTGAGAAAACCCACCTTCTTTAACAAAACTCTTATGATCACCAAAACAAGAGAGAATGAGTAATGTATAAGTAATAACCAACCTTTAGTGCACTTTGCATTAGCAAGGGAACACATGGCCATACCAACTCTTCCATCTTTCTCTCCGTATGTCTTCTTGTATATATTTAAATTCCTACCAGAAAGAAAGACAGATTGACACAATCGATCGCATAAAAACTCTGACTAGACTAATCCTTTACAATGCTGTACCTGGTAAAAGGAACTTCTGCCTCATCAGCTTTACCTTCTTTGAGCAAAAGTTTACCGAGTGAAAATAACGGCACCACTAGATCCTCAGTTTCAGAACCTCTATTCCGTTCCAAGATAGTCACTGTACGCTCGTAAATGCCAATAGCTTTATTTGCTTTTCCATATGAACCATAACTCTTTGCAAGCCCAAGTAATGGTGTGACAAGTAGAGTATTACATTCACCTAGTAGAGAGAGAAGTAACGTTGACTAAGGAAAAATGAAGATAAGACGATCGCAAACACAATTCTAGAAAGATCATTACCGTATGTATTCTCTAGTATACTAACAGCCCTTTGATGAGCGAGTAGAGCGTTTTCAAACATCCCTAATGCTGAATACATACTGCCAACATGCATAAGCACTGAATCCAAAAGAGGTTCCGAGTCCATTAACTTATCAACAATCTTGCTTATCTGCGTTTGTTAACTTCTGTCTTAGTCAACACAAATCCAGTTAAAGAAGGATTTTTTTTTTTCCGGATATCTGACTGAAACTCACCGTATCAAGCAACGCAGGAACAGGTTTCAAGTCTCCCATAGCCATATACCCTAATGCAATAATGTCTAGAACAGCAGCTTGTTCGATACCTTTCAAACCTGAATCAATCTCTTGTTTCACAGCAACATAATTAGCTCGAAGAAGGTCCATCGCGTCTCTATCCTTTCCCAATTTAACCATAGCTTTGACTTCATTGAACAACTCTTGCAACTCCATCTCAAACTCCTTGATTCCATTGCTATGAGTAGACCTGCTGCATAATACACAGACAAAACTCAACTGAACTCTTATGTTTCTGAGTAAAACATAAATGAATCAAGTTCTGACCTTTGAACTTGAGAAACACCGGAAGTAGCATGAATCTTCATCTTCATGGAAGCAGTTTCTGAGGAGGAAGTTGATAAGAAATGACGGGCGGGAATTATGTAAAGCTTAGGATTGCGTTTCTGATAACGGAAACAAACACACTGCCACGTCGAATTTGTCGGGAAAAAACCGGAATGAGAAGATAACTGATTCGCCCTGAAACGCAAAACAGAAGATAGAGGCTCAATTTTAACATAGACTCAAATGTCAGTGGATCAAACAAAAGCTACGTAACCGTAGTTTGGTCCGTTAAAAGAGAGAAGCACGAGAAACTAAAACGCTAAAGCTTTTCACGAGAGAGAAGGAATCATTTACCAGTTGGTGAGCAGAGTGGCTGAAGGGAGGATAGAAACTGAAGACACCATTGAGTGATGAGAAAGAGCAAGCCAGGGAGTGAAGTTCGGAAGTCGTAGCCGCGGTTCCGCCGACTCGCCGAGTAAAGAAGAATAAGATAACGCCGGTGAGATTTATCAATAATGACTGAGATGGCCCACAACGAATATAATTTTATAAATTAGCTCCAAAGTTTCTAAATGGTACAAAATCATTCAATTCGCATGTGTGGGGCTGCTAATTCAAAACTTATTAATTTCCTTTCAAATTTCGAATCATGGTTTAAAATTAAACCGGATTACAACCGGTTTACACAACTACATGTAAAAGAACAAAAGAAGGAACAATGTTTTTCTGCAAATTCCAGGGCTACATGATGAAACAGACTGAAGTAGGAAAAACTGTCAGAGGAGAGTTTTCTAAGGTAGAAGATTTCAGTGGCCACGCACTTTAACTTTGAGAATCCATTGAACAGTTCCTGGTGGCAAAGGAATAGTCTTGGGGAATTTCAGAGGAACCTCATATTCACCAAAAGTTGTCAATGGCTCAGTAAGAACCACATTGTCCGGATCAATTTTCACACAGAGCTGCCTCGCCACCTTCAACAAAACCGACATGGTAACAGATGATGATGATGATGATAAGATCTACTTACAATAGTTTAAGGATGTTACAAGGAAGGGAACAGTTTTTACCTCAGAGACTATCTCTTCCTTTGTCACAGGTGTTTGCACATCCGGTTTGTCCTCTTTTGAGGAGCGGTTTTTGAACTTCTCCTTGTCAATTAACTTCCTCAATACCTGTTAATCAAAAACAAATGGATCTCATAGAGTAAAACCTACTGAATAGAAACAAGAATGTTGAAAATACTTTAAAGTAAGAGTACCAAGTTGGCATTGGCTAGGCGCTTAGCAGCCTTTTCAAACTCTTTAGTCTGGACTTCGGAAGACTTATGAACCACCTTAACCTCTTCCTTTTCTTCATAGTTACGCATCTGAACAGATTCACATCAAGAAATCTATTAACTAAAGGATATACATAAACCAACAAAACTTTTTTAGTACCATAACACTAACAAGTCACGTCAAGCTTTACCCTTCACGTTAAGAACTAGATACATCATCAAGAACACAGCCTAGATACAATAAACAACAAGAGCAGGAAACAGCTACAAACTTGGTCATATGAGAGGAGGAGCATGTCAAAACTAATCTGTTTGACCCTTCACATCAAGAACTAATACTATAAATAACAAGAATACCACATAGATACATGCTGTGACATACAGCAAATAACAGCTGGAATGGTACAGCTTAGTCATATGAGAGCAAAGTTAAGAGAAAAGCAGAGTTAAAGAATGACCTTGCGTTGCTCGCGGATGAGATGAGCATACTTGTCAATGTTGGGGACAGCAAGGAGTTTAGGCATAAGGTGATTCCTGAAGTATCCAGGCGCTACCTTCACCGTCTCACCTGCTTTCCCAAGCTTCTCTATGCCCTACAAAACACCACACCAGATGAAGAGTAAGCACAAATCAGAAACAACCCCCAACGAATTCAGAAGAAAGATTCGATCATTGTTAAAAACCTTAAACGCACCGTTGTGAGAATGACTTCCAGTTTTCTGTATCGAACTCCTTGAGAGGCGAGAAGGAGAGGATGATGGATCGCATTTTCGTATTTGTGGAGAGCTGTTCCTCTCGATACTACATGCCGAATCACGTTTCGGCTTTGCGCCACATGAGCCATTTGAGATCTGCGATATGAGAGAGGACGAGAATGAATGAATTTACGGAAGAAGCACCGGTGCAGCGGCGACGGCGGTTCGAAAGGATTCCACGACTCTTTTTCACGAATTAGAAAGAAAGGGGAAAACCGCAGGCGAGGTTTTAGCAATGACGTCAACTGAAGAGAAACGACATGCCGTTTTGGATTATAGGGTTAAATAGAACGCTTCGATGTTTCTAATAAGACCAGATAACCACCTGAGTCAATGGCTCAGATGCCCTTCTACAAAAAAAATTAAATCACTAATACCCTCCACTAATTTTCATACCCTTCACCATTTTATGAAAATTCCAAATAAATCATTCCCAATCAATCAAAACTAAACAAAAACTCCCCTATGGATCAGTGAACCCATGGGTAAATCTTTAAATTCTATATGTTTCAAATTCGAAAAAAAAATATTTTAAAATCATTTTTAATCATATTTTGATGATTTTCGGAAAAATATGAAAAAGCAGTTTTTTGATTTTTGAAATATTTTTATCAAATTCTATAAATCAAATAAAAAAATATTTAGTTTTATGATTTTTCGTTTGATATATAAAATTAAAAGAAAACAAATGGGGACATTTGAGAAATAAGAAACAGATGCAGGGGCTATATAGCCATTTTCTCTTCAATGGCTCAGATGCCCTTCTACCAAAAAATTAAATCACTTATACCCTGCACAAATTTTCATACCCTTCACCATTTTATGAAAATTCCAAATAAATCACTTATACCCTCCATTTTCTCTAACCTCGCCGTTTCTTATCGATGGCTTAAGGTTTTGTTGACGTACGAGACGTGACTTTTGTTCTTTTAATTTTCACTTAACAAATATGCATATGAAGATGAATGCTAGAAGATCTCTTACCCGTAGTGACGAATTCAGCAGTTTCAAAACAACAGAAGAGGCTAAAAAGACAATGTAGAATTAGAAAACAAGGAGTGAAATAACAAAAGATTAATCTCATTTTGTAGAATTAATCAGCGCATATGAAAAAGAAGTATATAAAGAAAAGGGTTTTTAGTAATAAAACCCCTCAACTAAAGATAGATCGTAAAAAAAACTCTCAACTAAAGATTTAGTGAAATAAACCCTCAATTATAGTTCCGTTAATGTTTGTCACCCTCCGTCACAAAATTTTAGACAGAAGGTAACATACGTTAACATAACTAAAGTTGAGGGTTTATTTCACTAAATCTTTAGTTGAGGGGTTTTGTTAAGATTCATCTTTAGTTGAGGGGTTTTATTACTAAATGCGGTTAAATATTTGAAAATCTCTATTATCATTTATTTAGTATTTAAGAATTTTAAAATTGATTTATAAACATTGAAAATAATTTATAATCTTTTATATATATTACTTTATCAAATTTTTAACCTATTTATAAAGCTTAGTAAATATTTTAATTTTTTATAAACTATTAATAAGGTTTAATGATGATTTTATAAGCTTTTGTCTGCTATTTCTTAGGATATAAAAATACATGATTTTTCTTGATATTACGAAGTAAAGCGATAATGCTTTATAAAAGAGGAAACACATACAATTTTCTTATATTAATACTTTCAAATATCAAATAATTAAGATTTCTAAGTTATATAAAGTTGTAGGTAGTGTTGAGGATATTTAATTAGTTTAGAAATTCAACCTTGTTACTTAAAATATGGCAAGGGCTTTTTTCTCCTCTTTAAACAACTTCAATTTGATTCGTACTTTTTATGTTTTTAGAAGAAATAATGTAGGATTATTTTTCTTTTTTATTTTAATTTCTGAACCAATATGTTATACTCCTACCTTATTAATCAATAAGCTTTTCTTGTTTTATTTATTTACTTCATGTTTTTGTAGTATGACGAATAATCACTTCTTTAATCTTATAAAATCATCATTAAACTTTAATAATAATTTATAAAAAGTATTAAATGAGAAAACTTTATAAATAGGTTATAAAATTGATAAAGGAATATATAAAAAATATAAATTATTTTCAAAGTTNTAAAATCATCATTAAACTTTAATAATAATTTATAAAAAGTATTAAATGAGAAAACTTTATAAATAGGTTATAAAATTGATAAAGGAATATATAAAAAATATAAATTATTTTCAAAGTTTATAAATCAATTTTAAGATTCTTAAATAATGAATAAATGATAATAAAGATTTTAAAATATTTAACCACATTTAGTAATAAACCCCCTCAACTAAATATGAATCGTAACAAAAACCCTCAACTAAAGATTTAGTGAAATAAACCCTCAACTTTAGTTCTGTTAACATATGTTACCCTCCGTCTAAAATTCTGTGACGGAGGGTGACAAACATTAACAGAACTAAAGTTGAGGGTTTATTTCACTAAATCTTTAGTTGAGGGTTTTTTTTACGATCCATCTTTAGTTGAGGGGTTTTATTACTAAAAACCCTAAAAAAAAATAGCGTCATCATCACAAAAAATTTGAAACACACCATTTTGCTAAGGCGAAAAAAGTCGACAGATGCGATTTGGATTTTTGTTCGATAACAATATGAGTACGGCAGATCCACCGGAATTACCTCTATCTTCGACGAGTGGGAGGGCATCTCAGAGTGTGGCGCATGTTCCGATCATGGAATAAGTCAAGGAGTGGATACTACAAATCTAATTTAGAGTTCAATGAAGGATTTGGTTCAAAAGCCAAAAGGATTCCGAGAAAGTTGGATTGAGAGATCAATCACCAAGGAAATTGGATATGGGAAATAAGGATGGATCGTCTCATGATCTAAAGATTCAGGAAATAGCTTCTGAATGTTCTAAGGGTTCGTGGGTTGGAGCGGTTCAGGGGCAGAAAATATTGAAAAAATATGAAGTGGAGGTAACGATGAAGGATGAAATAGGATCGGTAATCGTTCCAGAGGACATTACGAAAAAGGTGGCACCATTATGGGATGATTTTCTCATAGGTATATTCATGGATAATGCTCCACATATTGGTAAAATCCATGAGATAATGAAGAAGATGAGTCAAGCCAAAACTGGCCATGTAGCCATTTGTATAGTCAGTCGATGCCGCTGGTTCCAGCGATCACTAAAAGAACAAGACACTGCCTCTTTCTTCTCCAATCTTACCCACGGACGGTGATCCCGATTTACTGACTAGCCGGTTCTCTTCCTCGCCGCCTGGCCTCAATAATTTCGTGGTTTGTCTTACTTACCTTAAACCCCTTCTCTTGCTTCAATAGAATTGATCGCGTGTGAAGAACTCTGATTTTAACATCCTCTCTCAACTTGTAGATGGAAACTGCTCCAAAAAAACTGGTTACCTTCGCTGCTGTATGTCGGCAAATGGAAGCTAATATTAAGAATTCTTGCAATCAGAAGATGTTAGGGTTTGATTCGGATGAAAAAAATCTGGATGCTGAATACGACCAGTCATGCATTGCTCTGGGCGATGGATTGGTGAGTTTAAACGAAGGATAGCAAGATGACGTACAATTTGAAATGATAGATATCATAGAACAGAGATAGCTTAGATAAGAGATTAAATTTAACATATTTTATTCATTTGGCAAGGAAAAATTACTTTCGGACATTACATTTGTAGCTCGTGTACTTTATGTTTCCTCCCAGCTTGTAGAAAAGTTGGATCAACTAGCAGTTGAAGATATGAAATTGACAACAGATTCTCATATTCACGCAAACGTTCCACCAGAACAGCCCGGTGCAGAAGACAGCAAAACTGAAGAAGAACAGACCGGTGAAGAAGACAGCAAAACTGAAGCAGAAGACAGCGAAACTGAATAGCCACTTCTTACTTTGTATCTTCTTAATCTGCTAGAGAACAATAAATCATGTGATAGATGCTTCTTCTTCTTGTTTTTTTGTTTGTCATATAAAGGATCAAATGCATGTAATAGATGCTTCTAACACTACAAGAAAACTAAGAATTTACTAGGAAATTTTACTAGGAAAATAATTCCTCGTAGATTTACTACGAACTTACTTTGGTTTTACGAGGAAAACTAGTTTCCTCGTAAGGTCCTCGTAGAGGTACGAGAAACAGTTTTCCTCGTAAGACCATAGTACCATTACGAGGAAATTACGTGGCAAAAGTCCATTTCCTCGTTAACGCGTAGTAATATCTTTCCTTCGTAAAATCCTAGTAAAACCTTACTACGAAATTAAGAGGAATTGATTTGTTACTACGAAATTAGGAGGAACTGGATAGAAAATATCGAATTTAAATCAAAAACGTTTTTTTTTACCTACCTTTCCTAGCAATTTCCTAGTAAATGCTCAGATTCGAAAATTTCTATAAATACCACCATTTGTGATTCATTTGAAACACACCAAAAAAGAATCAGCTATAAGCTTGATCAAACACAAAAAAATGTCCGGTCCGAGAAATATTTTCGAGTTGCGGAAGTGGATGTATTCACACAGAGATGATAACGGGAGGGTGACGAAAGAATTTCTCGAAGGGTTGGAGATGTTTATGTATCAAGCAGATTCTACACCACTTACGCATGAAAGTGGTAAGATGTCCTGTCCTTGTCGGAAATGCTGCAATACAAAATTAGGCCCTCGTGAAAATGTTTGGAATCATTTAATAAATAGATATTTCATGCCATATTATTATATTTGGTATCAACATGGAGAAGATGCTAGTTGTAGGAATGAAAGTAGCAGTAGTGATAGCAATTTTTCAGGTTGAACCGGTTGATCATTTGCATAATGAAAATAGCTATCATCACCAAGAGGATCATTTGGTAGATTGTGATAGGGTTCATGATATGGTAGGTGATGCATTTCTAACTCATGATGATGATGAAATTTAAGAACCTAACTTAGATGCAAAAAAGTTTTATGAAATGTAAGAAGCTGCGAATGAGCCAATTTACAGTGGTTGTAGAGAAGGTCTGTCTAAATTGTCGTTGGCTGCTAGAATGATGAGTGATAAAACCGATCACAATCTACCTGAAAATTGTATGGATGCATGGGCAGACTTGTTTAAAGAGTATTTGCCAGAAGACAATGTGTTTGCTGAATCTTATTATCAGATTCAGAAATTGGTATATAGTCTTGGGTTGCCCTCGGAGTGATAGACATTTGCATCGACAACTGCATGATTTACTGAGAAGATGACGAAAAGTTAGAAGAATGTCGATTTTGTAAGAAGCCACGATTCAAACCGCAAGGTCGAGGGCGTAATAGGGTACCGTACCAAAGGATGTGGTACCTACCAATCACAGACAGATTGAAAAGATTGTACCAGTCTGAGGAGACTGCTGGAGGGATGAGATGGCACGCCGAGCATACTCAGATGGATGGAGAGATGACTCATCCATCAGATGCAAGAGCCTGGAAACATTTTAACAATGTACATCCACATTTCGCTAGCAATAGTCGGAATGTGTATCTTGGATTATGCACTGATGGATTTAGTCCATTTGAAACGTTTGGGAGACAATATTCATTATGACCGGTCTTTCTTACACCATATAACCTGCCACCGGAGATGTGCATGCGACGAGAGTTTCTAATCATGACCATATTAATACATGGTCCAAAACATCCAAAAAGATATCTCGACGTTTTTCTACAACCACTGATAAAAGAGTTGAAAGATTTGTTATCAACAGGGGTGATGACATATGATTGTTCAACGAAAACAAACTTTACGATGCGAGCGACGCTTTTGTGAACCATAGAAACTACCCCGTGAACAACTCCGCACGGACTCTGCATCGAGCTTCTTAGGCTTTGTCTCCCTCGGATAAAAAAAAGAAACAACTTCCATACGAACAAAGGAAAGATTATACAAAACTTTTATCGTATAAATCAAACCTAAAACGGAAAAAAAATTTCTACAACCACGGGCATACTTGGCGTATCAAGCTCGACAAACGCTACTTGGCCCTCGTCTGATCACGCTTCACTTCAATGCCTAGTTTACAAACCGACTCGACCTTATCGATAGCACGAAAGTGTCATGGTCTAATCCTCTACCAAATACGACCTTGGCTGTGCGGCTGAATACAAACTTCATGCCAAGCCAATACATTCAACGGATAATGCAAACTTGTCAAAAATCGGCTAAGTTCTGTATTCTCACGATTCACTCTATTTCCGAAGCAAGTTGCCTACAAAATCCGACGTGTAAGAAAATGCTCGTAACAGAGCTCATGAAGGCGTACGAATCTCGGAAGGTCAACACTTCACAAAGCACCGTAATGAAAAACGGTTCGTTTCGGGGAAACAACTTACACGACCTCTTGGTCCTAATTGCTCTAGAACGTATCATAAAACTACTTAACATCCAAGCAGGAACGTGAGTTTTGGTTGCGAATATCCGCAAACGAACCTATGTGTTCCTGCAAAGCAGGGTTAAGACAAAACCCTCGCAACACCGCGCAACATCTTCGAGCCCGCAAACGTTTCAAACACGAAATGCGGCATACGGAATAAAAAAAACAATCTTCGGCATTGCGAGACGTCGCAAACGCCTGAAGAACAGTTTTTCGACACAAATACCTTCCTCGATAAAGTCATTTTATTGGAAGATATAACAGCCCATCTGCGACTATAAAATACAAAAAACTTCTTAACATGCGTATCCTTCGTGAAGGCCCAAGAAGTGTAAACATCTATCACCTAAAAAAGTTTGTTGCTGATCACAACAAACTTGCAACAGTCCTAAACAAACTTAAGTTATCTCGCTGAGATAGCCCTCGAACACCCGAAACTAGGGTAATAGCGCAATAAAAGAAATCCAAACTCTTGGTCAGCAATACAAAAAACTTCTTAACATACGTATCCTTCGTGAAGGCCCAAGCAGTGTAAACATCTATCACCTAAAAAAGTTTGTTGCTGATCACAACAAACTTGCAACAGTCCTAAACCAACTTAAGTTATCTCGCCGAGATAGCCCTCGAACACCCGACACTAGGGTAATGACGCTATAAAAGAAATCCAAACTCTTGGTCAGCACTTCAGGGCAACTTAGAAATTGTTCCCGGTGAGATGCTCGGTTCCAGCCAGACGAATCGTATAAGCCGAGAACCTATCGCGGATTCTAAATCGGTATGGAATCATGTTAAAATCACAACATGCAAAACGAAAGCCGACTAGTCATCACATAGCCTCAATCCGAAAGTAAACCTACGTCTTGCCCTAAACCCAGCACACTGGTCTCTAACGTCTCAAGGCATGAATCGAGATCCTAAAGGCATGTCTATTCGTTTATATCTAAACGCTCACTCGATTTACTAAACATCCTAAAACGAGCAAACGAATAAGGCAATCCACAAAGGAAAAGGAAAGCGAGACGACAACTCGCGGACCTCCCTCGATATCAACTTATATTCTTCCCTCTACATTCATAGGAATTAAAACACGCTCTTAAAAACACAAACTGATTTATAATAAAGCCGCAAAAGCGGCAGAGACTCAGAGCTGCACACGGCCAGTCCGAAAACTATAACGGCCACACTCGCCCATAGCAAACAGCCCACGAGGCTAGTCTCAAGGCCGGAAAAGGTCCAATACACATAACCAGACCGTAAAGGTCTTGCTAGGAAACAGGTTACACGAACCTTAACTCTAGAAGGAACTACGAAAGGCTTGAGCCCTTCAATAGGGTACATAGGCAGCCTTCACAAGGCGCAGCACTAACCTAAACGCTTTCCGCTCCCTGGAGAGTGGAAAGATCACTTTCAACGGACCTTTCCAACCATTAATTCCGCCTAACTCACCTAAAACTGGCTAACCACTCGCAAGAACCTCACGCTAGATGCTCAAGGTTCTAGCGAGCTGGGGGGCTAACTGTTGGTGCCAAAATCGGTCACGATGGAATTAATGGCTAAAAGTTTCCGTAAAAATAAAAATATGTTTTATAAAACTCGATAAGTCGTTTTATAAAACTCGAGAAGTCGTTTTATAAAACTCGATAAGTCGTTTTATAAAACTCGAGAAGTCGTTTTATAAAACTCGAGAAGTCGTTTTATAAGAATCGAGAAGTCGTTTTATAAAACTTGAGAAATCGTTTTATAAAATTAAAGGAACATTCCAAACAAAGGAAATCCGCAGAAAACTTGGAAATCGTTATCTCGGAAGAACAAAATAAACGCCGATTACACGATCGCCCGAGTTAAGCACAAAACCACGAAAAACCGCATCCGCCATAAACCGCGAGCTGGTTCGCCCGAACTAGCTCGCCGTACGGCGATCTAGTCTCATCACGGATAGCTTTCCGTACGGCGAGCTAGTCGCTCCTCGGATAGCTCGCCGTACGTCGAGCTGATTATCCCGAGCCTCGATCTTACACGTCCTCGATCGACAACATTTTAACGATTTACTTGCAGAAGGAAGATAAATGTCAAATTTGAGCATAGATGTTAAGTTTGAGGATAAATAGAAGATTTCCGCAGAGAAAAAAGGAAAGATCAAGATAAATGGAAGATTCTCGATAGACTTGAATCTAGGCGAAATGGAAGGACTAAACCACCTAGGAAGGGAGTATATAAGAAAGAGGCATAAGACAGAAGAAAGGGACGAAATTTAGAGCTCTCATCTGAGACTTTTACAACTTTTCTATGCTTAGAATTTTCCATACTTAGAAACCTAGGCTTTATTTTCGAGAAGTTCGGTTTCTATGACTGGCACTCGATTACTAGACGAACTTGCCCAGGCAATTCGATCTCTTGTCCAGCTCCATCAACTGAACTACGTTCGACTTGATCCTCGAAAGGGGTACGTAGGCAGCCTTTCATAAGGTTCAGTCCGAAACCAATCAAACTCCCTTT